ATGTTGTACTTTCAGCCATGGCCCGAAGCATATATCCTCAAACATTTTTCTTTGTGCAGGTGAAAGCTTCGACGCAATTGTTTTGGCCAGGCTGACTTTATTTCTCAAGGTCAATTGAGCCGAATAAAAGTTCTACAAAAACAATAAACATACTAAATTAGATATACCAAAAACTACACTGTGAAGATATACCAAAAACAATAATAAACATAAATAGTAGTAGTTTATTCTTCAAACTTAAATATGCAACACTGTGAATTTCGTATTTGTCTTTGTTTTTTGGTTGAAGTAATGCAATTCATTCAAGTTTCAATTTGCAGAAGAAGAATAGTTTCTGAAAATGAAAATCGCAACACGAAAATGACTATCGCAACGAGAGAATCGTAACGCGAAACTAAAATCGCGTTGCGATTTGCATTTCGCGTTGCGATTCTTGGTTGATTTAATAAGCAATCTAAGTGAAATGGTTAATCTATTATTGAAATTACCAGTAAACTTATCATCAATTTCAATATGAAAAACCTAATAATAATGCAAAAATTTCAAAAAGAAAATAATTAAAAAAACTAACCCTCGTTGGTTGATTTGGTTGATTTTCCATTTCTGATTGTGAGGGTGGCTCTGAGAGATGGAGATAGACGGATTTCACCGGAGATGGGGACGGATTTCGTCGGAGATGGGTGAGAGAGTGAGAGATGGAGATGGGACTGAGTTGTGATTTTAGGTTTTAGGTTATGAGTTGCGATTACGGGATATACTGTGGACAGTTCAGTGTTCCAATATATTAATATTCATGTTTGGAATTTAAAAATAAAATACTTGGCCAGGATACTAATGGCGCTTTGAAAATCGCATTGCGATTATGTATTATCGCGTTGCGAAAGTCAGTATCGCGTTGCGAAAGTAAGTATCTCGTTGCGATTTTTTATTATCGCATTGCGATAGTCAGTATCGCATTGCGATTTTCCCAATTCGCGTTGCGATTCACTTATTCGCATTGCGATTTTCCCAATTCGCGTTGCGATTTACTTATTCGCATTGCGAATTGGGAAAATCGCAACGATACTGTAGACCATCGCAACGCGATTTTCAACTATCGCATTACGAAAATGCAACGCGAATTTGCGATAATGGAGATCGCGTTGCGAATTAGCGATCGCATTGCGATTTTGTTGGTCATTTTGGCAAATCCGGAAAAAGTTGGTTAAAATCGTATATTATATGGGATTTTTGGTCACTGAGGTTATTTTCTCTTTTTAAAATCGTGTTTAAACATTTTAAACAAAAGTCTAATGCTTGAATCAAATCTTTTAATAAAAAATAATTTCATTCTTTGATAATTTAATTATTCTAATAGTGTAAGTTGTAAATTTAATTTTACGAATACAATTACGATTAATAAATAATTAGTTATAAAAAATTAATAAATAAATAAAAAATAAAAAATTATAATTCTTAGTTTTAAAATTAAATTGTTTTCATATAATTTTTTAAAATTAAAATTTCTAATTTATTTTTCAAATTATTACATAAAAATATTTAAAAAACAAAAATAAAATTTTAGTTATAATTGAAGAGTTAAATAAGGTATTTTCTATTAATTTAACATGTTATGTTATCTCTTTAACAATATTTTACTATTGTTACATGTTGTTAATAAAATCAAAAATTTAATATTTATTTTATAATTTTTAAAAAAAATAATAAAAAAATAAAACACTTTAATAAATTAAATGATCGTATACGAATTTTATCATATTAGTGTATATTGGTGCACATACTCTAGACTCATCCCATAAAAACATCAAACCTTGGGTAATCGATACCGAATTCGCTTGTTAGACAAGATAAGCCTAACCTATTCCGGGTATTAAAAAAATATTATTTACGAGACCTTGCGGCCAAATTGGGCAAATAGTCCTCCCGGGTGGATTATTTGGCTCAATAGTAATCCAAACATTTAATTTGAGATTTACGACAATTGCAATAGTCCCTATAAAATTCGTTACGTCAACGTGACGAGTTTCATAGGATATAATTTTTTAATGCCGTGTCAAGTGGACCACATAGCCAGAATAAAATCTAATATATCTTGAGGGACTCGTTACTCCGGCGTGACGAGTCTCAATAAAAAAATATTTTTTTATTTCAAAATTTTTTAAAAGAAAAGTTAAAAAATAATATTTTAATGCCTATGAAATTCGTCACGCCGGTGTGACGAGTTCTTACAGAAAAAAACATGTCTTCCCTTTAAGTTGTGCACATCATCTTCAATATCTTACATAACACACTCCATTCATCTTCAATATCTTACACAACAAAATCCTTTTATCTAACCAAAAACATTTCAAACAATGAGCAACTAATTCTTCACAGTTGTTCATTATAATGGAGAAATTCAACAAACTAATATTGGTGTTGTGTTTAAGTGACAGACCGATCAATTTAGGAATGGCAACGGGACGGGTTTTGCTTGTCCTGTCCCCGTCCCCGAAATGAATCTCCATCCCCGACCCGATCCCCGTCGGGTTTTTTATCGAGGCGCCCCGTCGGAGATTTTTTTTACCCTGTCCCCGAACCCAACCCAAAATATTATACCCAAACCCGAATCCGAAAATATTATATATATAATTAATATAAAAAAATAAATATATATATATATATATATATATATATATATATAATCGAGGAGGGGCGGGGCGGGGATACCTTGCCCCGAACCTGAACCCGAAAAAATCCCCGATACCCGACCCGACCCGATATCATTCAAACCCGACCCGAACTTGATCGGGTTTCGGGTTTCCCCATCGGGTTCGGGTTATTCTGCCATCCCTAGATCAATCAGATATTCCCTATAGATGTATCTCATCGCCAAATGAAGCAAAAAATTAAGAGAAAACTTGGAGCCTATATTTCATGTATAAGTTATCGGCACCTGATCTCCTTAAATCCAATGACATATGGAAAAGTTCAGCTTGATAATGGTGACGATGTTGTTGTTATGGCTGGACTTCATCAATCATCAAATAATAATATGGTAGAGATGTACGTCGAAATTACGAATGCAATTGGTATTCTGACGTCATCAGTACCAGCTCGAAGAACAGAAGAAGCATGTCCCTCTCGACCACATGCAAGTTATGGTGATGATAACCTTGTTGGACGGTTCGGTGAAAGCCTTTCTGAATTTAGCGAGGATGATGAAGATATTGTTCCATTGGTAGACGATGACGACACATCATTAGTTGATTTGGTCGATGTCGAGGCGTGGTAGAATGGTAATGACGTGGTGCTCGTTGATTTCGTCGTGGTTGTCCACCTTCTTCATTTTCCTCTTCTTCCGATTTTGGTGTTTCGAACACTACTCCACCACTTTGATATACATCTTCGGGTGAAAACGATGGAGTACTCAAGGTATTTGACGCCATCATTGGCGTTATCACCTCAAATTGAGATTGTCTGTGATGAAGAAGATGATCACATGGACCTCTTTCTTTCGGTTTTGAGGAAAATTGTTGTGAATGTGACACTTGATCCCACCCACTTCCTTCCCAAGCCGCTCGACTCTTCATTGATAGTTGATATGCACCATATCCAACATAACTTTCTTGTGATGGATAATAATTGGTGGAAGCATAAGATGAAAATATTGATGAAGATGATGATTTTTTTTCATATTTTGCCTTCATTATTTCCCACTCGGACCGTTCCTCCGCCATTGTCAAGTATGGTTTCTCATTTGCTTCATAATTTTAGAGGTAGGGAGAAACATTGAAATCAAAATCTTCGGGTTGTACATCGGAACGATTAGGTAATCGTAAATGTCTATTTTTCCATTGATGTATGTATGTAGCATGCTTCATCGGCCAATCTTCAACATACTTCCCACGTGCATCTACTTTATGCAAATCGTCAATGTCATATATTGACATTTCTATCAGTTGGTGAAACTCAAATTGTCGTAAAACTCTATACGCAGTCAACAATTGTGAAATGGAGCAATGGTGTTATGGCACACATGTCTCCGCTCCTTCAAAAAAACTTTGGCGGTAGACACCGTTGGATATCCGACTCATAATAAGGCATCCAATTAAACTGTCAAAAGTATTATGTTAGTATAACTAAACAATTAATATTACAAATTGAAAGTTAATGCAAAAAATATGAAAATTTACCGCATGTCTACCAATGATATCAATCCTCATCCGAATATCTACTTTGGTTGCACCCAACAACTTTGTATCGATTATTCGGTGTCACCATCTAAAAAAAATACGTTATTTATTTTCATTTTCAAAATATTTAAATAAATATTATAAAAGATCAAAACTTTAAATATATGAATTTACCTTGCGGCGAGAGAAAACTCAATAGGAGCGGATGTAATAGACGTCATAAACGGGAGACGATACCCCGCTCATGATTGGAGCAAAACTAAACTACAGTCTTTTTTTGTCAACTAGTCCCATTGAAATTTAAAAAAAAAATCAACCGTTGAACAAAAGCCAATCCCACGGTCAAAAAAGTCAAAATTATACCCGTTGGAGCTCGTCACACCGGCGTGACGAACTCCATGGGTATTAAAATATTATTTTTTTAATTTTCTTTTAAAAAATTTTGAAATAAAAATATTTTTTATTGGGACTCTTAGATTTATTTCGGTTATGGGGTCCACTTGACATGACCTATTAAAAAATTATATCTTACGACGTGACGAGTTTCATGGAGACTGTTACAATTATCGTAGATCTCAAATTAAATATTTGGATGCCAAATTAGGCCAATAATCCAGCCACAAACTTTTTTTTAATAAAAATATATTTAAAGAGAAAACCAATTTTTTTCCTTTTTAAAAAAAGAATAAAAAAAGAAAACGGAAAGTAAAAAATGGCGGATTATTAAATAAGCCGATAAATTCAGTTTCATTTTACTTCATGTTCTTATTAAAAATATTTAATTTTCATATATGGGGAGTATAAACAGAGAAAGATGAGTGCTATCCTTCCTTTGCACTCACATTCTCTGTCTTCTTCTCCACCTTCCTTTCTCCTGAAAGACGCCAAACAATGAAAACTTTTGTTTCATCTTTAATTTAAATTTTATCTTTCGTTTTTCCAATTCAATCTTCTTATTTAGCCCTCCATTTTAATTTGGTGGAGAAATCAATGTTTTTATATATGGGCAGATCATTCAGATGATTTATCCAGCAGGAGTTCTTGATCGCAACCTTCTTTATTGGTGCGCAAATCATTTATTTTAATCTGTTTTCTTTTTGTCCTTTTCATTTTATATGTTGCTGACCAAGCTTGGATAGTTAGATTTGCTTTAAACTTAACTGGGTTCTTTTTTAGCTGGCTGAATTTATTTGTTTAGATATGCTGATGTTTATAACTTATTAAGCTTTGTTTCTGGTTGATGCTGGTGAAAGCAACCCCTATTAGTGGTTTTGGCGTGTTTTCTGGACTTCGTATTGGCGTCTTTTTGTTGTTGTCTCAAGGAAACAATTCAGCCCTCTCAGGTCTTTGTGATTGTCATTTGCTAGTTGTTGTTACTTTGGTTGGAAATAAATAATGGGTTATCTTGTTCATGTTTGTTCTTCCTTCGGATCCATGGTTGATTGGACTGTATTGATTTTTGGGTAGTTTAGTTCCTATCTCGCTCTTGTTATGGTTTTAAAGTATAACTCTGTGCTCATTTATGTTGATGGAAGGAGCTGTTTACACAGCATTGAATTTGTTTCATCCCATAGTATTCATCGTCTTGTTGTCTTTTGATGGAATTCTGTTGTTCAATAGAAGAATTTAAGCCTGTGGTGGATTAACTTTTGAATTTTATGGAGTATAGATTGGCAATACGTTCACGAATACACATGAGCTGAGTTCTGATTGTTTTGATTTTTTTTTCTTGTTCAGCTTATCTTTTCATGGGCACTTTACAACAGGGGATCCCGGTCATTTTTCTTGTTAGCCATATGAATTCTATGTGCTTCGTTGGTTCCTGGTTTGGAGGCCAGAAGATTTGTGCTACTCATTATTGTTGGATTGTTAGTTTGTGTTATTCAATGGAGGCTCGTAGTAGAACTGCAGCTGAGATGTGGATGCCATTGGTTGATACATAGTACAATAGTCTTCGTGCTATTAGTGAACTAGTTTTGTAGGAATCGTTTCATTACCCTTCAATGAATTTGCTAGAACTAGGAGACTTGAATTCTCTTATTTGTTATATTCTAGATGAATTTGAATAATTAGAATTGATTAGGAAATACAATATTGTAGAAAAGTAATAGAGGCTAGAAAGTGTGAGCGAGGAAGAGGAGGAATAACTTATTTAGCTCCACTTACGTTGCTTGGTTCACCATTCTCTACAAATTTAACAATGGGGTTGCCGCAAATTCCCTCGGATGATATTTCTGAGGAAGGTCAAGCTGCATCTGTAGATGCATTTTCTCAAAGCCCACCACAGTTTTCAGGTGTCAGCACCTGTGGATTAGATTGTATGCTCGGAGGAAGTTTTAACCAGACCATTGGGGGTTCCGTGTGTTCTTCACTTGGAGATTTTCAAAGGAAAACTTCTCTGGAGCTTTCAGAGGATTCTTTCAAACTTGGAGGGAAAACGAATGCTTCACCCAATGCTCATGGGCTGAAAATAGGCTATGCCAGTGATGTTGGATCATTTGCTCCTCCTAGAAGTGAATTGAAAGTCCAAAACCCTGCTTCTAGGATTGTGGGTTTTGAATCACATGGAACTAGTAAGGTACTGGAGGGAGCTCCTACTGATGTTCACTCTTCTCCTATTGGTGTCAGAGCTAATGAAACAGAGTCTAGTGTGCCTTTAGTCAGGAAGCGACTGTTGTCTCCATTAAATAGCATGCTTTTCTCGGATCAATTTCATGGGGACCCTCTTGACATTAGCTACAGAAGCACCCAAATAAACTCCTCTTCCTTAGCTGATAAGCACAGGGTTTCTGATCCACAAGACAATAAGAAAGCAAATGTTGGCAGCAAAATTAATTTAACGACACCATCCTGGTCTTTGTCAAGCTGCATTGAACATGGAAACAATCTATGTAACAAAGGGGGAACTGCTTCAGTTATTTTTACAGATGGTCCTTTGCTCGAAAACAAGGAATCACATCTTTCTCGTCATTTTTCATATTCATCTGGTACTGATCAGTCCCATGAATCAAGTAAGTTAAGGTCCCGAAGTGGAGCAATATCTATATCTCCCCATGTTGCAACTTCACCTGTTTCTTTATCACCGCTTGGTCCAAAGTTCAGTGAAATGATAAGTGCTGCAGGAGGATGCAGGAATCTTAAAAAGGATATCGATGGTTCTCGTTCAACTCTAAAGAATTTAGAAAATTCAGTTGAAAGTTTTAATTCTGGTATTATATTTACTGAAGAAGAGGAGTTTGAGATTTCTAGCAGATCACTTGAAGATATTGCTTATTTGCACAAAGAATTTTGTCGTCCTCTGGAAAATACTGCTGGGTTGAACTGGGCTTCCTGTCACGAACCAGCTCCCACGTCTCCATGTATGAGATCTATAAAAGGCTTGGGTGGACTTCCTGTTAGGAGGTCCTTGGTTGGTTCATTTGAAGAGTCGTTATTGTCTGGAAGGTTCTTTTCTGGAAAGCACAGTCAGGTTAGCTGTAAATTCATGTCGGTTATTTGTTCTATTCTGAGTCTGAACAGGAAAATTTTCATTCACGGATTACTGCTTTCTCATATGTTTACTACTTATGTCTTGTATGCTTAGAAGATTGATGGTTTCTTAGCTGTTCTAAGCATAACTGGAGGGAGCTTCTCACCAAAATCACAGAAACTTCCGTTTTCTGTAACCAGTGTGGATGGAGATTGTTCTCTCCTGTATTACACATCCATAGATCTTTCAAGCAATTCATCTTCAAATAAATGTCAAGATCAGAAGCTGAAAAGAGGCCTTAGCAATGATGAACCGCAACCTGTTAGAAGCCGGTTGCATATTCCTATGAAAGGGCGCATACAATTGGTAAGGCCTGCCACTAATTGCTAGTCAGTGTCTTGATGTTGTCAAGTAACCAGTTAGAATCTGGGGTCTTGATGTTATGAAATAAGCTTTACTCTAGTTATACAACATTATATCTTCTGCTGAAATTCAAATGTTACCATTAAAATTAACAAAAAAAAAGCCTTTCACTAATTGCTAGTATGTTTTTGAGCATTCATAGCATTCTTCTTTAGCCTTCTACATCATGCTTTTCTTTAACTTTAGTTGGATTTGCATGTGGAAACTTGGTTGACATCCTACTAGAATTTGACTATTTCTGGTGGTTAGTTCTTCGTTTTCCTATCATATTCGTTCTTGAATTTCGTAAATTGCATCAAACTATAGACATTTTTATCATGTCCTTATCCTGCTTAGAGTATTATGTCAGAAATTGGTTATATTTCTTCTTGGTGGGTTCCTATGCAGGTTCTTAGCAATCCAGAGAAAACACCTCTTCATACGTTCCTTTGCAACTATGATCTGAGTGACATGCCAGCTGGGACCAAGGTAATATAAATTTTAATCTGCATTGTCCTTTTTCTTTAGCCATTGGAGACTGAATGTAACAAAAGTGATAAAAAATATACCTTAATAATCCTTTGCTCTTCAAGATCAACAGTATTCTATAAAAAGGATCGACTTAGATGCAATGAGAGGATTTAGTTTTGGAATCAAGTTGCTATGATGTATGCTTACTTTTTCTGAATGTTTGTACTTCCCCATAATTGTATGCAATCCGAATGAAAGTAACAAACGATAAAGTTGCTAATTTTAAGATCTTTCACTTTTTTGTAGACGTTCGTGCGCCAGAAGATTACAGTAGCATCTTGTAGTCCCAACTCTACTGAGCTGAACAGCGAAGTTAAAGGCAGTGAAGGCTTGGATTCAATACACATGACTGGCGGCGACAATGATCGGTGCAAGGAGTACACCTCCAACGATGCATGTCAGAAAACTGACCGGAAAGTTCCCCATGGAGGTGTTAAGATCAACAAAAATACCAATGGTGCTGGTTCATTACGATATGCTCTTCATCTCCGATTTCTTTGCCCTTCCCCCAAGAAATCTTCAAAGTCATTTCAGAGATGTAAATCTGATCTAGGACCAGTTCCACAAAAGACTGACTTTGAAAAGAACAGGGACAGGAGGTTCTATTTGTACAATGACTTTAGAGTCGTTTTCCCTCGACGTCATCCGGATGCAGATGAGAGCAAGGTAATCCGATTTCCTACATTATACATTTACATAAACACAAAAACGAACTTGTCTCAGGTCTTTCTATATTCTACAGCTTCCCGTCTGTTCTAATAAGGTTATTGATGTCTAATGACAGTTGAACGTGGAATATCATTATCCAGACGATCCAAGATACTTCGATATCTCCAACTAAAACGTCTAATTTACGCCTCAGAGGCATGCTTTTTATGCCAACTTTGTACATAGTTATCGCTTGCTTCATTTCAGTCATCTCGTTTCGAAATGGCACTAGGCCTGATCAATATGTATATATCTCTTTCGTCTCAAATAATTTGACGGGTTAAAAACATTGTTAAACTGGCTTGGTCTGGCTTCCTTTAGCGTTGTATATATGTGTATATATTCATCTTTGCCCAAAACAAGTGAAATGAATGCGGAGTGAGGGACAACTAAAAGAGTGAAGATTTGACAGTGCCTGATAGCTACTTTTTGTTGGGCTATTATATGTATGGCAATAGGAGGGCAAAATTAACATTTGATGTTTGAAACTAAAAGGATTATCAAGATATTTCATTACGTGGTATAAAGTGGTTAGTGCCGGGTAAATAAAATTTGATTAAAGACATTTAAAAAAAAGATTTTGAGTTCAAGTTAATTGATTTAAATTTGATTTAGGTTTAGAATAATTAAAAACTCAATCGAGTATTATAATTTTATAAAAAAATTATGGATTAACTTAAAAAATTCCAATCGATATGATTCAATTTGAATTGAAAATTGAGCTTTAGATGTGATGGCAAACATCCTTTAAAGTAACAAAGAAAGATAAAGGATTGGGCTGTTATTATTATGCTTTGCTTTCAATGTCCAAGCCGTTCCAACCTAGTAGAACAAATGGATTTTCATTTCCGTTGGGTAATCATATTGGTAGATCATATTGTAACAAGATCCTTATAGAATTACATTTTATGTTCACTAAAATAATATTTGCATAAACAGAGGGAGGGCAAGGCTGAGCTGAGCTGTTCACAGAAACTAACAAAGAGGGAGCAGTGGAATATTTGTATTGGAGCAGTCGCTCACTGTATCTTGCTCATGAGGCCAGATGTACGTATTGCCACTTATCGTCATTTATTCTCGTAATCCACTTCATTCCCATTCTGCCCTTCTTTATGTACTCCACTCAAGCAAATCTCATTATCCTTGAATTCGAACAACTATTTTTGCATAGTGTATATTGTTAATAGGAGAAAAATTCTAGATAAATATTATGTTCGTCTGACTATTCTTTTAAAAAAATATGTACTCCGACTCAAAATAGGACAACTAATGCTTAACATGTGAAACAACACACCGCGTTAACCTTCCTGTTATACTATTCTAGTTTCCTCCTTCCCCCTTTGATGTGTACAAAAAACAAAAAAATAGATAATACAAGAGATTATTTAGCAAAATAGATCTAAAGGTTTAGTATTGGGTTGGATGTGATGAGTTTAGGCAAATATTCACATGCAGTTATACCCATGGATCAAAACATGTGTACATTTCACATGAAGTTTTATATGAGTTGAGAAATGACCATTCAGCTCAGTTGGTAGAGTATAAGGCTCTTAATCTTGGGGTCATGGGATCGAGTCCCACGGAGGATATTTCATAATTCGAGACGGAAGCTACTCTCAACTTGACGTTGGAACAGTCTACTATCCTACCTCCCCTTATCCCATTACATGAGAATAAGGGTAAGCTGATTTTTTTTTATATGAGTTGAGAGATATCCATCGGCCATGCAGCCCTATGGAATGTGTTTTTTTCATGGATCATATTCCAAAAATCGGAGGGGCAAATCCGTCCACCAGCTCACTGCCAATCATCGCGTATCCTGCCAGCCTTTGGCGGAAGTGAATACAAACAAAAAGCATAAACCCCATATAAACCCCCAGAACCGTTCCCTTTCCCTTCATATCTCTTTCTTTGTTGATCCTTCTCTTCTGTTTTGCCGCAACTCCAATGGCGGACCCTTCAATGTACAACTTCTTCAATCATCACCCCGAGCCGTCTTCAGCCAAGAAACACCCTCAAAGAGCTTTACCATCTGCTGTTCCAAGGCTTTTCTATTGCCAGTTCTGTCCGAGGAAGTTCTTTACTTCTCAAGCTCTGGGTGGCCACCAAAATGCCCACAGGCAAGAACGAGCCGCGTCTCGAAGGAAGCTCCCCGGTGACCATGACCAGATCAGTTTGCCCCCCCAACAATACAACTTTCAGCAACAGCTTAACAACCCTTTCGCCATTAAAACCGATCCACCTATGAACTACCCTGGTGCTGCTGCCTCCGGTGCATCGTATCTAGACCAGTGGCTCGACCCCTTCCATGTCCAACACCAATACCGTCCGTCTGCCGGCTTTGCTCCTCAGGGTTTCATCACGAGTACAGTTTCTTCTTCTACCGAGACCTCATCTCCCAGCACTGATGTTGATGAATCTGGAGATGTTGATCTCACTCTCCGTTTATAAGCTCCTCTTTCCCCCCCCCCCCGTTTAAACAACTAGCGATGTTAGCTTTTGATGGGGCTGCTTACTTGTTAGGGTTAGAAGGGTTTATAAAGTTTAACTTAATTACTTGAATGTTTTGTTCAAGAATTGGTAATGTTTTAGTAAAAGAATATTAGAGTTTGAATCATGTTTTCTTGAGTTGAAGTAGAAGTTGTTGATGTTCTTAATCCCTTTGCTGATTTGCATTTGCATGTTGTTTAGTTAATGTAGATGCTTTTTGGTCATCTCCCTTGATTTTTATCCTTTAAGCATTGATGTGGAAATGGTACTACAAGTCCTAGTTTGCACACAAATTGTCATATTTTGTCTTTCCTTTATTTTTGGGCTGACATTGATATAGTATTAGGTTGTACATGATTCGTTTCAAAAAAAGTAATATATCCAATATGGCATTAGGTTTTCCCTGTCGACGGGCTACATGTTTTTCATGATGTAGTTAGTGTTATTAGGGTTGTTTTGTTGGTAAAATGGGTTGTTTTTTCTATGCATTTTCATCCAAGTCGATATGAAAAAAGAAGAGCATGGATGAGAACCTAGGACGAATTGGGCTGAAGGGGACTAAGCAGAGGTTAGGCCTTTTTTGAGCCAACAGAATGTTGTAGATCGAGTGTGCGGCCATAATCTCCTCAACTTTCATAATCTTTAAAATGTTAAATCAACAATAATACTAATACAATAAAAACTTAGTTGATGGTTATAAGGTGTTATTATTACTTGAATGACATTTGGGCTTGCAATGTCTTTCCGTGGTTAATGTTCTGGCCCCTATATAATTTGATAAGATATGATTTGTGTAAATGTTGAATATATATACATATATTTAAAAATATATATTTTTACAAAAAAATTGGATAACATAAAAATATAGTAATTGATTTTTTTTAAAAAAAATCTATGAGAATATGCATATAGTTAAGAAGAAACGTGAGAGTTGAAAGAGTGTAAGAATTCAAATTCAATATTTCTATTAAATATTGTTTACATTTTTAAGTTTATTGAAATAGTTATATATATATTTTTATGGTCACTCAGTGATTCTCGTCTGTCAACCTCTCCATCTGTCATATCAGTCCAAAAACGCGTGGCTGGTGATTGACTTAATTTGTTGTAGTTTGCTGATCTGTTTAGGGTTCTCTATTAGGGGTTTTATTATTAATTAAAAATATTTATGAGATTAATATTTATTTAAAATTACTTTTCAAATTAATATTTTTTATATTCATACGATAAAAGTCAAGACCCGAACCTGATCAACTTTATGATGTCTTTAATACTTCAAAATCAATAAACTTAGTGATAAGATTGTTAAATCTCGTTGATGAGATATAAATTATAAATATAATCTTTTAGACTTCACTCTTTGATGATTTAAAACAGAATTTATACATGAAAAATTTTGGTTATTATTTGATTTATACTTATGATCGTGTAAATACATATCTTTAAAATGTATTATACATATTTTTAATTTTTTTTGATAAAATACATATGATTTTTCTAACATTTAAAATAAAGATATTGTATGTCTGACGTGACGCAGAGAATAAATATTTTATTTAAAATAATTAATATAATATAAAAATATTAAAAATTCATAAAATAAAATTATTTATAAAGTTATGAAAAAATTAATATTTATTTAAAAATAAAATATCATTATTCTAAATATTAAAATCTTAAATGTACAAAAATAATTTATCAAAATTTTAAACTAAAATATTTGATAAATGATAATGATCATACAAATTATATAATAATCTCTATTAATAATTAAAACAGTTAATTATAATAATACATATATTAGGTAACCTTTTATAACCACGAGATAGACATGGCATCTGCTTTCAATAATGAAAAAAATACTCAAAAGATAATCAAGATGTGATAGAATTAAATACAGATTTTTGTTGCAAAAATCAGCAATTAAGATGGTAAAAGTATTTGAATAATGTAATGGAAAAAAAATTCTTCATATATGGTTTTATTTAAATTATTTCTTGAATCGGAGTGTTTGTTACAGTGACCTCATTAGTCACCATGATCTATAGGTCGCCAAGCACTCCTTACGATAAAGCCTCATCTATTACAGCAACTCTTTTCTCTTCTTTCGATGTTGCAGTTTCATATGTCACCAAGTGTTTCATAGGTCGCCGTGTGTTCCTACAGACCTATGAAGGTCATCATGTGCTCCTGAACACCTATGATAGTCACTGAACAATCATTTTATTTAAATAAATAATTGTTCAACTGCACCATGTGAAGATTTTTTTTCTATTGTATTATTCAAACACTTTTACCTTGTCTTTGCAGTGTAATTAATTTGTTTCCACTGCAACATCCCTGCAGGTCCAACAACAACATCAGATCTTATTTACTCCACCCTTTCTTATTTCTTTATTAGCTTAAAATTTATCATTACTAATTATATAAAAGATAACAATAAATTAAAAGAACAAACAGATCGATTTTAATGATAAAAAAATATTATTATTTCTTAATTAAGTTTGAGCATAAAAAATATTAAAAGTGTGAATATTTAATATCAAATGGTTGAAAGTTAGATTAAAATTTTTTTTACCTTAAAAGATATATATATATATATATATACACTGTAAGTAATTCAAATCGGATAAAATAAAATTTAAATAATGATTTTCTATGTTGTTGAAATTAATTATTTTGTTTGGTTTTGTTCAATGTATTTATTTGATTGACTTGCATTTAGATAAATAATATCTACTTTGGGGGTAAAATTCTTATAATGAGTTGAAATAAAAAGAATTCTTCAAATACCAAGAATTATTTGCCCAGTTCGAGGGTTGGTCGTCAAGTATAGGCGATCAACATAGGTCGTCAAGTCCTCCGAACGTTCCAGCATTAGTTTCTTAGGCTTCCCATAAATAACAGTGATTACCTAATATTAAAGCATTTATACTAGATCAAAAAATAATTTAAGTTATACCTTATTTCAACGAATAATTTTTTTTCGCTCGTTCACTATCTTCACTCTTCTTCTCCGTTCATTAATTAGCTTTCCTTCTTTCCTGGAAAGAGTCTGTAAATGGCACCTGAAGCTGACAGAGGAAAAGCTTCGGATGTGGTTCAAGCCAAATGACTAGGCGTTGCAGTGTCGTCGAACACCACAAAAAGAGGTTTCTTTATGGCTCAAACCCTGCTCAGATTTTTTGCTGCTGTTTTCACATTGGCTGCGATCTGTATAATGGCAACAAGCTCCCAGACCATTGTTCTTTTTGGTTTCACCATTAAAGCTCACTATACCGTCTCATCTTCTATGAGGTAATCAGTAGTTTTCAAAAGTTTCTGGTCTCCCATATATGTTTATTTCAATGGCTAATCCATTTTCTGGTGTCTTTGATGCAGGTTTTTATTTGTATCAGATGCTATAGTAAGTGCATCTTCTCTGCTTTCATTGATCTTCGTTAACCATTTGAGACGGTCAAGATCGAGTCCCAAGAACTGCTATCTGTTTTTGCATGACATGGTAAGTAAATTGTGTGGTTTGTTATTGTTAATTTGATGGAGTATTGAAAACGGGTTCATTGCGTTTGCAGGTTATTATGTTGTTGGTGATATCCGGACGGCGGTGGGTTATGTCAGTCGATACGGTGAAGAAAAAATGGGCTGGATGGCTGTTTGCAACCGTGTGGGGATATTTTTGCAATCATATGACCATAGCCATGGTGTTTTCTTACTTGGCCTTCTTTTCCTACTTTGCTCTCACTGTTATGTATGTATGGAGCCAATGATGAAGATTAATCATCAAAAGGGAAGCAGTTTCTTCAACTCAGGTCTTGAATTTTTTCATCTTTTCTTCTTCTGTATTTTTAGGGTTTTAGATGCTGTTTCTTTAGAGAAATACACTGCTAGTTGGTGGTAAAAATATATGTTTTGTAATTGAAATTTAGTACTTTATGTCTTTAGGGCAACTTTAGCAATGGTAGTATGCAGCAAGATCTTCTGAAACTGCTATAATTGTAATCTCTTTTGCTTGGAACAAAGCACTCTAATTCTATTGATCTTAAACCACCTGGTTTATAAGGTTCCTCAACGATGGGGCACCACGCCAATCCTAAGGATCAATATGAAAGTAACACTTTTTAACAATCATTCATTGCTTGTGACCATCTTTCTGTGTAAGGTAAGCTTGTATAACAGGTACAATGAGAAGAAAAAAAGGCTGTAAATAAAATGATTTCATTCTGTTTCAATTTCATCTTCACAGTCTTTGAGATGGTCTTTTAGAGGCTGGCCCTGTTTTTCGCAGTTTTCAGAATCCCAGGTAGGATCCATTGAAGGTAATTCATAGTCATCAGGCTTCAGTGATAGTTGGAAATCTGGTAGTTCAGGCAATGTTTGGAGAGCCCTGATTCACAATCAACAATTAAAAGTTAAATCCGTAACCATTTATTGGACAAAATATGTCGAACTCCGAGCTGCAGTCAAAAAGTGCTTACTTCTCTTCTTCTAAATGGTAGCCATACATCTGTGACTTCCTTGATACAACCTCAGGTATTTTCTGATGTAAATGCTTCATAGCTCCCCAAAGTGGAGGTGCCCTGTTTCACCAAAGAAAAAACAAAAAGAATGTTACATCGGCTCTTCATTTTCAATAAGTACTCATTTCGCATACATGGTCTTATCCGAGATTTTAACCCCGAGGCCGAGCAACATAGAATGATAGCATGAAAACTATGGATCTTCCTGTCATGAGATTGAAAACCAACCTGGTTACAGGAGTGGCAAGGCAAAAGCTTATGCAGGCTTTCTTGCTCTCTACCAGCAGTTCTTGTGCAGCTAGGAAACAGCATACTGCACTAATATGACAGGTCGGTTCACTACCCTTGTCGAGCACCAGACCATGATAGTAATAAGCAGCAGCCTGAAGAAACAAGTACATAGAAGTTGAATTCCTATACGAAATCGATTGAATGCTGGGATTGAGATGCGAATGTTTTGGTATTAGATTGTGGTTAAACCTTTGCTTCAACGAATTTCCATTTGATGAACCACATATGTTTCTTCCCATATCCATGGCTCAAGTCACATCCAGACAAGCATTGATAAGCCTGATTACACAACAGGAAAGAAAGCCGACTGTAACCGATGACATATCCATGGCACTCGAGGGATACACAGATTTCTCAAACTAAAAATTATAACTAAACCTGACTGTAATAGATCAGCAGTTCACAGGCCAGCCTCCTCTTCACTGATAAAGTAGCCTTTTGACTTTCAATAGCTAAACCGAGCTGTATTTCAGTTCCCTGAATCGAAAATCATTTCCATTGAATTCTATCAAGAAATCAAAGATCCATTTCCAATTTTCCATTGAATTTTTTTCAGTGACCCTAAATAATGAAATACCTGGCCTAATGCTTGGATGGAAATAGCTTCCAGTACACCGTCCTGCAAATCTTTTGGCATACTTTGCCTGGGAGTATATATGAGATTTTAATAAGAAACTTGAAAATTTATGCTAAAAGAATATTTCCAAGAGCTGTAAATTTATGTTCATACTTGATTTCTGGTGGTATACGACAGAGTACGTTCCGAACACAAAATTCTAAGTACCCTGCAGCCTTGAGCAATAAATCTACTGCATCTCTCTTACAATCTGGTGGTTATTATTGCAAATGATCGGTGGTGACCATGTTAGAGTTAAAAGTAATCATAATTGAAGTTTAAAATTTGTCAAACTGGATTCATGGAAAAGGCACAAACCTGTAGAAACGACTCGAAAGCCAGAACCAGAATAATCCTTGGGGTCATAAGTGTGTCGGATTCAGATAATTTGAGCATAGCGATCATGTGAATAACTGATAACAATTCAAACCAGACATTTGCCACACTAGTCTCCTGCACATTTCAGACTCGGTTTCAATTGTTTACGATTACATGCCTGGCAAGGACAAAATTATAGAAGAAACCATGCATGGATTCCTGATAAAACGTACTTGTCTTCCATCTTCTAATTTTTTCCACTTGAATTCCACCAAGTCCTCAAAACCATGTTCTGCAATATGCACATATATTCATCTTAGGAACTTGGACAAACATGGACACTAAGGAGAGATTGAGATGGGCAGATTATAAAACCTTTCTTAGTAAGTCCAACTAGAACTGATAAGTACTCCTCCAGTTCCTGTTGCAGTTCGGTAATTGCGGATCCACCTGCAACTTCCACAGTTCGGCTTTAGATAAAGGACTCATCAAAATATATATGAAAAACAGGAGAGTCATAGGTGAGAGAGACCAGTGTCCTCTGCAACCAACACCATCCGGTTCCTTAGACAAGATAATCTGTTGATAACATCGCGAGGTATTTGGCCATCGAGCGCTCTTTGAAGATCACATTGAACTGGAATTCTCATGCAAGGAACAAATACAACCACTTCTGGATACTCAACTTCTTTTTCTTCCCAACTCCGTACACAGAATAAGTGCACCCCATCTTTTTCCCAGGGATTCTTTTCACAAATTAACAACCTACAAAATCATTCAAATTATCAAATAATTCAGTTCCATTAAGTGTAAATTCTGGTAATTCAGGGACATATGGACTTGAATAACAAAGAAACGAGGAAAAAGCTTGAGCACACATAATTGATAGTTCAAAGTTCAAACATATAAATTAAGCTTATGGATATGAAGTGTGTTGTTTGAAGCAGATAAAATTCAAGTTCAAGAAACAAAATTAAACTTACAAAAACAGCATCCATAGCAATACAAGAAATGGAAGAGAAGTGAATCAAAGCAATTAAAAAAGGATTTATGATGGATTAACATGTGTAGCTGAGATCTTGAAGTAACTCGCTGTATACAGAGAGAGAGAGAGAGAGAGAGAGAGAGAGAGAGAGAGAGAGAGAGAGAGAGAGAGAGAGAGAGAAATGAAATTCCCAGTACACGCAATGGAATACTGATGATATCTTAAATCAAGAGAGAGGAAAAAGAATCTGGCAATAGGAAGCTCAGGAACCGAGGCATATCTCACATGGCTGAGACATAGAAAGTCTTCATTGGCATTGTTAAAGGAGCCAATTGAAACTTCCCATACACAATATTTATTCATTTCTTTGACGCAACAACTGGTTATTCTATCTCCAATACCCCCAATCTCCACTCCAATCATTTGCAATAGTATTAATTACTTACATACGAGGTTAATAACCATGCATGAACTGGTAGTACCATGTCTTTAGATTTTTAGATTGGTTCATTAAAGCTGAAGTCTGGATTTATCTTCAAGCAGCTTGGTAGTTAGGTGTAGACATGTTTATATGGGCTTTTCTGCAAGTGTGCACGTGGGGACTAACCTTCATGTATGGATCAAATGACAACTGAAGTTACATGTTTGGTTTACCATCATTTTTTGCTTGGAATTTTAACTTTTGATTTTCCAAAATATCTTTTTTAGATTTCATTCTTCAAATTTACTCTCCACAGTCCACTCTCATACTGATACATAAAGAATCCATGCAGTCTAGGCTTTCTTTTTGTTGGTCCAGCAAGTTAAAAACCTGACGGGAAAAAACTATAGATCCATAAGAAAATTTGTATGATTTGCGTTTACTTGTGGAACCAATAGAAAATGATAGTATATGATTCGCAGTCAACAATATATAAATATATATAGAAAATGGAAATTGAGTGGTTTGTCCATAGATCAGGCGTCAACTCCAGCAGTAATCATCATAGTTCTGGCACCAATGCAGTGCGTTTGCCAGAAAAAATAAGAAAATTACCACCTTCACCGATGCAACATGTTACCCTGGACAGGATACAGGCTGGTGCTTAGATCAGAAATCCAGTTTTATCCAACTTGGCAAAAACATGACAATTGTACCCAACAGCATGGATTACTGGTCTTTTCTTCTTTTTAGACAACCACTAACCTTGGTTTGTCAATTGTGATATACATAGCTGTGAAGTCTTCGTCTTGGTTGTTGCTTAAACCGATTTTCAAGGCCAAGGTGTTTAGGAGCAGCACATGTGGTGAGATCGGTTGCTTGTTTAATCAGCTGTTCAATGTGTGAACGTCGCAACTTCCTACATGAATCCCCAATCTCCATGGTTGCTCTCTTTCTACAACCATTTTGTAGGCCTTATTGGCTGTTAATTAAGGTTTGGGCTTAAGTCCAACAACCTTTGTAGTCTTATTGAGGCCCAATTATGATCAAATAAATTTAGACTTCAGTTGTATGGTTGTCTAATATACGATTAGAGTGTATTTGGATCAAGGATTTTATTATTTCTGACCGTCATTTTTTTCCTGATTAAAGATGCCTATGTTTGATTGTGTAAGATTCCCAAGTAAGGGCAATCTTTCAATACCAACAATATATATTGGGGTGTTTATTCATGGGAATGTTATTCCCACCGGTGTCTTAGGTATTTTTTCATTCCCGTGTTAAGGGCTACCCTTCTTTTCCTGTTTGTCTCTGCATATCTTCTTCTTCCCGCGAGCTTGACAGTGCGAAAAATTTCGTTTTCCCAGTGAGATTCTCATGGTAAGATTACTTCTTACTCCCTTTGTTTTATTTTATCAACAGTGAAATTCATCGTTTTATATGAAATCTGGGTTTGTTCTATTTTCTGTTTTCGTTCGTATTATATGACTCTATGGCTTCAGTAAACGCGTTCTGATTCATCACCGCCTTCTTTTTTTTTTTTTTTTTCCTAATCTCTTATAATATTCACCTTTTAGATGTAGACTCAAAATCAAATCTTTTGCATATAAAACCGAAGAAAAATGCTTGTGCTTTCCCATCCTCAAAGCAAAGAAACAACCCATTCATTGTACGAACTGCTCTCTCCATGGTTCTTCCAGTTTGATTTCGATAAAAATGGTGGAAGAAACTAACCAACCCGAATTTCAATCCTCTGCATCAACCACCGTAGTCAAACGAAAATCCTCATGGCCGTCCGTTCTCCGTTGGATTCCGATATCTACCGATCAAATCATCGCCACCGAGAAACACCTTCTCTCCCTCGACAAGTATGTAAACCTTCAATTCCGTTTGCTTATCAATTTACTTTGGATTCCCTAAGCTTATGTTTTAAAAAACTGGAAACTTCGATTGCACATTAATTGAATTCTCATAGTATTTCATATAATTCTTTTGTTCTTTTTAATTTGGATTATCATAGTTATACTTTTAATACTGAAAGCTTTATACTGAGAAGGAGATAGGTTAATCAAGAATAAGACAAAAGAAAACATATGCCCATGGTAGAAGTTCAGTCTGTTTTGTACAAAATAAATGCAAGTGATTGAATTTCATTATCAACATATTTTCTATGTATTTTTTAGGCTTCTGTAATGATATACATTCTACCTTTTTAATATGATGCAACCCGCCATGTGGGAATTTGATTACCAAATAACTTAAGGTGGTTTATATTGTAATGATTCGTGTTCTACTTTCTGTAAAATATTAGCCAAGACAATGATTTGTTAAGCTTTGGGCATTGTTTCTTGATGGAAGCTTTGGAGCAGGGAGTGAATATCCTATGTTCATTTATCTGTAATGATGCATGTTCTACTGCCTGTAAAATATTAGCCAAGACAATGAAAATAGATCAGTATGAACCTGCTGACTGAACAAGAATCTGCAAAGTTAAAGGGTAATTCTTTTTACAATTTTGATATTTATGCTTGTATAAAGGGGAATTGAGGGCTAAGGGTTGGAATAATGCAGGAATTAGGACGGACATGGAGATAGAGAGTTAGGTTTTAGAGTGTAACAGATTGTTGGAGGTGGTGATGGTGGAGTTCTTAGGGAGATTTCTCGGCACAGCTCCGTTGAGCACATTTATATATGTGAAATAGATAAGATGGTTATAGAAGTATGTTGTATTTTAGTATCTATTCTTGTTTCATTTTCCTTTTACCTTTTGTATGAAAACGCTCATTTAGTATCCATATGTAACTTTTTTATAGGTTTCCAAGAAGTTCTTTCCTGAATTAGCTGTTGGATTTGAGGACCCTCGTATTCATCTTCATGTTGGTGATGGTATGTGAAAGCAATATTGAATATTTTATGTGTTTCATTTATACTCTTTTTTTATGTGAATTTTCTGTTGAGTGGTCAAGCATGATGCTTTAATTCCCAAACTGATGTTTTACTTGCATATAATCTTAACAACTATTGAGTTTCTTCGTCATGTTCCAAAAGCGAAGTATGATGCGATCATTGTTGATTCATCAGATCCTGTAGGTACGTTGTAATGTATGATCTGATAAAATTTTATTTTCAGCATTGATGGTTTCTTAAAGAACATTTACATGGTATTTTTGCTTTTAAGACTCAACATCATTCAAGCTTTTACTCTTTCGGTTTGCAATTTAGGTCTTGCTTAAGAGCTTATAGAAAAACCATTTTTTGAGACTATAGCTCAAGCATTAAGGCCTGATGGTGTCCTCTGTAACATGGACAAGTGTTCCAACTTATCCTAAGCATTTAATTAAGTTGTTGTTTCCCCTTGGTTCTCTTTTAGATATTAATGATGCTTTTGACAGTGGTAATTTTATATGGTATCATTTACCAATTGCAGGACTGTCTTCGAATCATAGCCTATCTCATTTCCAACTTCTGTTTTCCTTTTCTTTTGCAATGCAGTGGTGTGATTGGTTTCTTGTAATGCTCCACAGAGGGACTAGTGGTTGATTTTCTGAATCCCATAAACCCTATTGAGAAGCTAGATGGAGCTTACCATCATAAGAGAGAACTTAGATTTTACAACTCTGAAGTGAGAACTCATTCCATCAAGTTCAGTTTTCACTCTTTCACTCTTCTGCAGAGTACCTGGTATTTACTTTTGTTATGAACATTGACTCCTTGAAGCTATTATAGTTTCTTTCGTGCAAGGAAATGAACCCCATCGAGTTAGAGTGATGGTCCATTTTATTTCTCGATGGCTTAGCATCTTGGCCTGCAAAGTCTGATCTCTTTTACTGTAATTTCTTTTGTGATCTAACCATTTTATGGTAGAAATAAAATATTTATTTTCTATTGACAGATGCATAGGGCTGCTTTTGCATTGCCTCCATTCCTGAAGAGGGAGGTGAGGCTATTTCGAGACTGATGTGGCGGAACAAAGAACTTGCCTCTCCTGAAGCAAATATGTAGACTTGCGATTGGTTAACTTATTCCCATAAACTGAAATACTTTCATTCAGGACATAGGCAATAAATAAATATTTTCAACATGTAGGTGCAACTGGAGCCATTCTAGTATGTATTATGGTTTTATTTCAAGGAACCTCTATCTAACTTTGTTAAAATGGCACCTACAATCCCTATCTCAACATTACTAGATCGAGTGTTCTTGACATGCCACATTTATTTGCCTAAAACCAACAGATCTTACTGGAAAGTAACCTCTAAGCTACAGAAAACATGCTAATATTTGAACATTGCACTTGACTTGCCAACTTCTACAAACGGTATATATTGATTGATTAATTGATTGATTTTTATAAATTTAATTTTATTCGAAAAAAATTTAAATTTTCAAATAAGACTTGAATAATTCTAATAATTTAAATTTTTTAATTAATTGATTGATTTTTAAATTCGAGTCAAGCTCTTAACTTTGTGTGATATATATATATTGTTTTACATCATTATTCTAAAATTATTAATAGTAAATATAAATTGAAATGTAGAAGTAATATTATTATCTCTCGTTTCTTAATAAAGATATTATTATAATTATATACATAAGTAATAAAAATATATACCTTTTAAAATACATAATTTGGAAAATTTAAGTATCAGCATTAAATAATCTAAGTTGTTTATAATATAATATTTGTTTATATATTTTTTATTCTATTGATAACACACACATATCTTGTTAATGCATTTGCTCAAACTCAAGAACTCTAAAAAATTCAACACTCCCTTTATCATTGAGTTCACTCAATGAGTTTATTCGATATATTAATTATATGTTAAATATAAAAATTAGTTAGAGTTTAATGAATAGAGATATATGAGCTTTCAAAATAATGTTTTTTTTGAATATCGGATGTTAAACTTGATAGAAAAACCTATCACAAAGATAATTTATTAAAATGTACTATTAGGTAGGTAATCTTATATCTTGTCAAATAATCATCATAATGTTACACTTAGATTAAATAAACTAAGTAAAATAATATAATATTTTTAATAATATATCAAATAATCTTATATCCCAAAAAATTTATTCGTAGTAATAAATTTATTATTTCATAAGCCATACGGGTAATCACTAAAATAAATAAGATTTGAGCTCTCAATTGGGACAGATCAAGTTAATTTCATATTGCCAAATTGATTCCTATCAAGTTTAAAAGTTTTAGAGTTATTGGCTTTGGATTATTACGATGTTCTTTAAGTTTAAGTTATTTTGGATTGTGTATTTAAATTATTTTAAGATTGAATATTTTTTTTATATTCAAAGTTAAATTAAAATAGATAAAATCTAAATTTATACTCATTAAACTGGTTCTTGGGATTGGATGAGAATGGAAGAGAAAAGTAAAGTATCTCAGCCCATAAATTATATGGAGTATGGAGGGTCAGAGATGCCTGAAGAATAAATACTACATGCATGGGGAATGCATGTACACAAAGAAAGTCAATTAGAAAAAAAGCCTTTGCTTAGTGCCGATGGCCTTGACTTTTTATGAATTTGGTTTGGTCAGCTGGGGCATCGATCTCAAATTGAGAATCATGTACCCCACCAAATAAAGTCATATATGGACATGGAATGGGGTTTCTATTCCATTGAATGTATAATTTCATATACTATTCATAAATTAGATGATGTTATATTATCAAAAATAAAATTAAATATGCGATTAATAAGTCAAATGATTAAGAACATAAAAAATCAATACCTGCATTAATTGAATAACATGAACTATACAGCAGAAATCAGCAGTGAATTAAGGCCCAGGTTAAAGTTTAAAGAGTTGCTCAAAAAGGATGCACATAAATGAAACCCTAGCTAGGTAAGATGCGCAATGGCATGCATATCTATCTAGATTATGCTACAACCACCCCAGCTAGTGTCTTATATCTTTTCAAAGGGCTGCAAGATGCCAGGGTTGAACAGTGGAATGGCCAGAAACTTCGAGACCTTTCCTCTTCCTCTTTGTGGAGAGATGTAGGAGCCCTACATCTCTGAGGTGAGGTCCCTACATGTTGAACCGAATATATTCCCCCTTTATGGGCAGCGAGGAATCGCAGACGGAGGCGGCAAATTTGATAAGGGGGGATCCAAACCATTCAATAAGGCACATCTCATCTCATCTCTATTATTCTTTCGTTTCATTTTACTATAAATACAGACTTCAAAGCCCTTTGTGTTGGCATCAAATTTGAGCTTCGAGGAAGAAAGATCTAACATGAAGGTAAGAGTCATCATATTTGGTAGCCAAGGATGACTTGCCTGCTCCTTTTCCAAGAGGTTTCAATTGTTCATCAAATGTATGTTGAAACCCTTGGTTGGGTTCCAGGCAGTCACCTTGGCTAATCAGATAGGCTCTTTTCTTTCATGCTAGGCCTTATCTTCCTCCCCTTGTTAATCAGCATACCGTCCAGCTACATGCATGAAAAGGAAGAGAGGCCTTCCATGAAGATAAGAGTCTTGTTTGGTAGCCAAGAATGACTAGCCTGAAACCTCACAATAATATGGCATGTAATTGTTTTGATGGAAATTAAGGTCGTGTTTGGGTGTCAGGCAATCGTTCTTGGCTAAGCTGACAGGCTCTTCTCTATCATGCTAGGCCTTTCTCTTCATCCTTTAAACAAGCAAGTCGTGGTGGAGGAGCATCTGTCAAGGAATGTGCTGTAGTTCTGAATTTTAGCAGTGATTAGAAAACTTCATGCATGGATGAATGATGAATTTTTTTTTATTCTTTTTGGTTATCATTGTTCTATTAATTTTTTGAGAAGTTTAAATTTGCAGAATTTAGTTCCCTATGTGATATAGAAAATACAAAGGCAGCTGATACCACTCCTTGAGGATATGGCTCGTGTCGGTATCCATATAATTTGGAAAATGACATATTTTGTTTGTTCATCAAGGAAAGAGAAAGAAAGAAGGATTTTCATTTTCCCCCATAACATGCATGATTTTAACTTTTAATGGTTGAATCTTATCCTCTTTTAATGGGTTGATTGCATGCATATAACAATAAAAAATCCTAAATAATATAATTCTTGTTTTATTTATGTAACCCCCTCAGACCGATACGGATAACTCGATCCGATATGGAGTGTCACATTAGGGCCACCGGAGCGACCCACTGTAAAAATAATGAAAAATTTAAAACTTTTTATCAGAACATGTAAACTCATAAACTCATTTATCAGTATTCAGAAATAAAATAGATTTTCATCGAGTAGAAGCCATGAAGATCTCAGTTCCCAGGAAACATTTATAGTATCACGTTTTCAGGAAATTGAATAGGATATCTAATTTGTTCCAATCAAAATCAGTGAAAAGATATAAATCTTTTAAAACCATAGAGGAACCCTCCAACCAAACTCCATTATGCAGTTCCCCAGAACTGCATCCATAGGGCTTACCCTAAGCACACAGCAAAGGGAGCCAACCTAAGGATATGCCTTGGGGCCATGGGCTTACCCAAGGGTATCCATAGGTCCGTAAGGTCTTATCAGCTGGATCAGGGCTGTGCCTCTATTCTCCAGAATCCTATCCATATAAAAATCCGGTAGAAATCAGTTTTAGGCATAAATTGTAATACCTGGACCGTTATCCAGTAATAAGTCATAATCGTAATAATGAAATAAACTGTATAACTGATTTCCACCTGTACACCATAAGTAGTTCCATAATTAACTTAAGGGGAATGCCTTGGGGCCTGAGAGCCTACCCAAGGGCCACCTTAAGTCCGTAAGGATTTACCAGTTTGATCAGAGTTGTACCTTCATACTCCAATCTACCCAGGTAATGTCCCAATAGAACAGTTCGGGTATAACCCGTAAATACAAAAAACCATAGTTCATAAACCAATAAATCCCATGATTCCATAAATCATGAACAATTCATATTTTCCAGTGGAAACAGAAAACCTGATAACACATTTCAGGTAACCATAGTTCATAAACCAGTAGATTTCATGACTTCATAAATCAGGAAAATTCATATTTTCGGTGAAAGCCATAATCGGAGATCACATTCCATGTCGCCATGGTCATATACCAGTAAATCGATACTTTAATGAAAACTCATTTTAAAACATATAAAACCATCATGTAGTACATATGGAGCACACTAGAGAATCCAAGTATTTTTCAGAGGTGTTTTGTAGTTATCAGAATGGATAACATGAAACTTATGCAATTTGATCGGATTCCAGGAACGAGGTCTTATTAAAGAGAATCAATTATTAATCGATTTAATCAGACATTTAAGGTTGATACTTTAGAATCCTACTATGATTTCATGAGCATCAGGAATAACCAGAGTGATTTGAGTTAATAAAGAAAAAAAGAATATTCAGGGCAATTACCAACCATGTCAATCGATCGGATCATTGAACAACTTGAGCTGAACAACACTCACAATTGATGCCTGTCGACTAGTCAATTCATTTCCCTTCCTGATACTCACTCTATAATACTAAAAAGTCTTGTCCATAGATCATCATCATAATCATTGCTGAATAGCTCTTCCAACGGTCTTTATTTCATTTCCACATTTCAACAATATTAGAAAATACGAACGTACTTGATTCATGGTTCAAGACCCATAAGGACAATTCATAATGTAAATTCAATAGTGTTTCCAAACTTATCCAATCACCTATTTAATCCTCAGTCATTGAGGTTACTTAGTTCGTTTAGCAAGCAAGTCTATCCCGGTTACTTCAGAGTTTTCCAGATTAATTATGACATTTCTGAATTTCCGATACATATTATACTTCCTTTCATTTCAATTTAGTCATATAATAAAGTCACTCTGGTATTCGTGGTTGATTTATCTCACGAATATTCACTTCTTAGTACCGAATGCGATCTATAGTTGTGCTGAGCCAAGTACTTCTAGAATTATCATCGATCCAAACTTGAGAAGACGAACACACATTAAAATTATGTCTATGCCATTCAGGTATTGACATAACATTAGAGTTGATCTACTCACTTAAATTGTGTTCCATTACTTTTAAAGGTAGTCAAATACCTATGCTTATTTGGATTTCTTAATTAATCCAAGACATTTACTTAGTTTAGG